TTTCATCAATAAAGAACCCTTTCACGTTTCAGGAAACTGTATAGCAAGAAAGTAGGTCTAACTATATAAAAGTGTTTTTCACATAATGCAGATCTCTTTTGTTAATGTTACGATTGAAGATAAAAATGAAAAACGAAATATGAGCTTACATCAGTTGCATATGAATAGTGGGACTCTTATTGTCCGGGGTTAACATCGAGCAGCCTCTTTTCTGCTATAACTTCCAAAAGCAACCCCCCCCCCCAAAAAAAAAGATCAATGCATTACTGATTACACGAATCTCGATTTCAAAAACAATGGTAAATAAACTCGCTTCACTTTAATATGATTTATGTTACTATGTATTACTGTGTATCCATCCACCAATCTTTGTGCATGGCACAACGAAATCGAACTGAAAGCCATCACCCATTGCCAGCACAGAGCTCAATGATCGGGAACCCTATTGCAAACATTCGAAAAAGAAGTATGCTTATGCTCTCGAAAATTTAAAACAATTATGTATGTTTTAACGGTCAAGGGTAAGTTCTGTGATAAAGCAAAGTACAGGTAAAGCTATATCCTTGATAAACTGAAGCACAAAATTGAAAAAAAAGTCCACACTTTTCACACGCAGGCATGCTCGAGTAGTCAATTATTGTAACCACAGGTAAATTTTGCTGACGTTGGCATGCAGAAATATTTATTAATGAATACAACGTGCGTGTAATTCTAATTTAAGGAGAAATGGTGAAGAGGTAGAGGTTAGGGTGGAGTTTCTCATTTGTTTTTAGTTCTTAAAACATCAAAACGTTAAAGAAAAATGCCCTTTACAGATTTCCCGCCAATGTATAGACACTGTGTGGGTCGTGCATACTTTGATTGACCTCAGCAACCTTGCACAGCCGTCTGGGATTTATAATCGAGCCCGCAGGACAAGGCCATTATAACTTAGGTTCAGTCTTGCACCGCAATATGGAAGTTTGAACCCGGGCCTGTAAAACAACCCTTCAGGTATAACTATACTTTACGGGTATTTTTTTGTATGAAGGCCTACAAGGAAACAAAATTTGCTGAACAGTTGTGCGTGTGAGTATTGCTGAACAGTGCAGTGAGGGTTTACTTGAAAGAAACTTTCCGCTGTTTTACAACACAGATCTCAAATCCATTTCAATTAAATGCTCAGAATTATCACTTGGTTTCTCTGCATGTGATATGTGTTGCACTAATTCGATCTTGTATTTCCACCACCCATCTCTGTGCATCGAGACACCACGATCGGACTACAGAAGCCATCACCCATCCCCAGTACACGGAGCGCCAGGATCGGGAAATATTGCTTAACACTAACAATGCACTGAAATAGCCATTATTTTCACAAAAAAATACACCAAAAAATCCTTCGAATGCACATTCAAAATATTCATACACACATAACGTTACATACACTGTATTATATCAATAAAATGTCACCGTTTAACATATAGAGTGATTCGTGGTGTGATTGTTAAACACCTAGTCGAATTCATGATAACACTAAAGTAGCCTATCAGTCCCTGTGAATCAGGACTATAGATTAAAAGTTATAGAACATTAGAGGATCTTGTACCTACTCATTATACGTGGATTTAAAAACCTTGCAACTGAATCTCTGAAGTCTGGAGACCTGAAGTGAATGTTTAGTCGAATCCGTTGTACTCCAGGCAGTGTGTCCGCTACAGTAAGCCGCAGGAGAATGTTGTCTCATATTCTGTCCCAAATGATTCAGTGATGCGATCTTTTATTCTGTGGACAGTGAGATGAAATACAGTAAACTAAATGCATCATTTGTTAAAAAGAGATACTAATTGAAGAGGCGGGTTTGAAATAGAAGAGAGATACAGTGTATATAAATTACGGACTCTTTTGAACTGCCCTTAACACGTGACTACTCCTGTAGGGAATTCCAGAAACGTAGATTGACACCCGATTTTCAATAATAGTTGAATATAGATTGTAACAAAATATCTTGAACCATTTTCATCCTTCATTTCCAAACATTACAAGCTGATTATATGACCTTTTCCTGGTACCTCTTCTCTTAAAACAAAAGGCAATGGAAACCGAAGGTAACAAGTAAATAATATCGACAAGAGTTGAAGAGTAGTGTTATCACATCAACAATGGCTGAAGTAGGCCTGTGCCGGTACAAAACTACGTCACCGTGCAAGGACGATCACGTTGTGATAGGAGGCGTAAAGGCCCAGCAGGTTCCGGACGAAAAATCACGCTGCTCTATATTGGTCAGTGGCAAACTATAGGTACCATAATATGGTACAAAATATTATTATGGTACAAAATATTACGATGATTCCACAAATCTGTTTACGATGACATGCGTCGCAACTCACAAAATTGAAACCCAGCCAACACATAACGTTTTCATTTCGTTCCTGGAAAGTTACCTTCGGTAACGTTCTGTAAAAACGTCCCCTAAACGTTACGCAGACGTTTGAAAGAAACGTTACATTGTAACAATTGTAACACGTTCTGTAACAACGTCCGCTGAACGTTATGCAGACGTTTGAAGGAAACTTTCATTGTAACAATTGTAACACGTTCTCTAAAACGTCATTTGAACGTTATGCAGACGTTTGAAAGAAACGTTTTATTATAACAATTGGAACACGTTCTCTAAAAACGTCATCTGAAAGTGATGCAGACGTAAGAAAGAAACATTACATTGTAACATTTGTGACACGTTCTGTAAAAACGTCAGCTGAACGTTATGCGGACGTTTGAAAGAAACGTTACATTGTAACAATTGGAGCACGTTATTTAAAAACGTCGCCTGAACGTTATGCAGACGTTAGAAAAAGATGTTGCATTGTACCATTCAAACAATGTTATCAACAACGTCTGCATATTGTTTCACGGACGTCTAAATGTAACGTTTTACTGTAACGTTCTGATAACGTTCCAAATCGTTGATATCGACATAAGACACAGAATCATTTATATCACAATTTGAACGGCCATCTTGTTTCAAAACTCCAAATCATCAAGACGCCAACATTTAACAAGATGGCCGTTCAACTCATCAGCATCGTAGTATTTTTAAGTCAGTGTCGAATGTAATAGAAAAATGGTCCCGCGCTCGCATCGTGTCACCGCGTACAAGCTAGCTGCGATGGTTCCCACACACGCTCATCGCCATCGCTATGTAATGGAGTGCTCTACCCGGTACCCGCCATACAAAATTTGTACTGTTTGAGAACCAGCTGAGACGACGTTGCACATTATGCATGCAAGAAGCGCGGTAAATTAAATTGTGAAAGTGGATTGTTCGATTGTGATGCGATGTCTGATAATTATCTTTTCATATCAAACACATCCTTTCAGCGCCTTCACAACAAAGTAAGTAATCTAAAGCAAGATTGTTTATACCACATGTAGGACTTTTTATTTTTACATTCCACGTGTTTCTTATAACAGTTTTCTCAGTCATGAAATTCAGGTACATGTAGGTCAGTATTAAACTCGGTATAGGCTAAACGTGCACAACGTGCCGAATAGACTTGTGATATGCCCGATGCTGGTTAAATTTCATGGATTTTCAACCACAAAAACAATTGAAAGTATCATTGAAGCCCCATTACTTCGTCTTTGATACGTGTGGAAGCCAGTAAATGATTTGAAAGGTATTTTGGCAAGTATTTTGAGTGATTTTTTCCAACATTATGAGTAGGCCTAGGCGAGTAACTCCAGCTGACATGTTCCATATTCATTCACATGTAACGCTGGAGGAATAACCTGTTCGTTAGAATGTGGTAGCAAGAGACCCTAGCTGGAGTTACCCAGCCCTAAATTGTTTCATTGGGTTGTCATTTGTTTAGGGCTGGAGCTAATTTTTCACGTAACCCAGCAGCGTAGGCAGGTCCAAAACAAATTGTGAAACATTTTGGAAAATGTTCAATTTTGTCCCCGTTACACACTAATTGCAACTGCAACTCACCCCAAACTTGCCTGGAATAACCATTACACAGGTCCTTGAAGTAAAAACGATCCACGATGAAGATTCAGCCTACAATTGCAGTGAAAAAAGGAGGAAAAACAGCTAACTGACAACCTTGCAGGCATGGCCAGGACCGCAATTGGTTTGTGCACAAAAAAAAATTGTGTACAATGAATGGCGGTCGATTACCAGGCACAGCGCGCTGTCAACTAGTCGTTTTTGCCGGCTGCGCTGGCTGTTGGCGCATGACGTCACGCGGAAGCGTAACACCCAATGACTGTTTCATGCACTAATATGAGGTTTACCACTCGCATCACAGCTGCGGTACTGGAACCGCAACCGATAGTGCATGACACAGTTTTTTTGGGGGGACCTGCCTACGCTGCTGGGTTACGTGAAAAACTAGCTCCAGCCCTAAATGACAACCCAATGAAAAAGTTTAGGGCTGGGTAACTCCAGCTATCTTTTATCCCACACCAGAGTTCATTTACATACCTCATACATTCAGCAGTCATTTACGAAGCCTAATGATGCTAATGATCGACTTGAAACAGACCACACAAAAAAGGTGAAAAATCTTGACGATTTCGGTGGCTTGTCCGTAAAAAATATGCCAGTTCCAACGTGTGCCTTCCATTTTGTTTTGCTAATTATATAAATGTATGCATCACGTGATGACATCAAAAACAATCAGCGCGCGCGATATAATGTGGGTACCACACCACTTTCTGGCGCTGCAAGTGAGTTCAATTTTCGTCTGGTGCGTTGTCGCGGAAAGCAAGACAACGAGAATGCCCTCCACGGCAATGCACCAGACGAAAATTGAACTCACTTGCGGCGTCTGAAAGCGGTGTGGTACCCACATACATCGCGGGCGCAGATTTGTTTTGATGTCATCATGTGATGCATACATTTACATAATTAGTATAACAAAACGGAAGACAGCCGTTGGAACTGACGTTTTTTACGGACAAGCCACCGAAATCGTCAAGATTTTTCACTTTTTTTTGTGGTCTGACTGAAGTGCAACTATTAATAGTTGTTAAGCTTTCAAAACAACCTTTGCTTTTATGTTTTAGATCAGAGCCCTCATGTCAAAAATGATTTTGGACAACCAAAAAGAAGAGTTGTGCCTCTTGAGGAAAGTGGCCAGGCTCCGAGCTCCTGATGATGAGGACATCGAAGAATTTACTCCAAAACCTCTGGAAACTGTCGCAGAACTGGAGGACCTATGTGAAAAGCTGAATTCTCCTGAAGAGGCCAACTTAAAAAAAAAAAACAGATGGTAAATTGCTGTCTTGTAAATTCATGTATTTTTCTTAAACCCAGAGGGCCTCCGGGAGCAGTTGATATATTCCCATGACCGAGGGACATTTGTTTTATAGGTATTCGTTGATGTTTGTTACTTACGAACCCTGAGGAAGAGACACAAGGACATGTTAAGCTGCTGTCCGTAACTAAAAATTCAAACTTAAGCATGACTGATGTGAATAGTTTTGGTAGTTCACTCCACCGGCTTGTGTCACTCATACTTGTAGCATGTATTTATGCCGAACAATTGTCTCACTGTATGTTTTTCCTTCAGATTCGTCACTTTACTTCCATGGGAGGCTACAACCTTGGCGAGAGTGTCCGCCGCATGCTACGCAGGCTAGGGACAAATATGCTGTGGTCCCTTTACAGCTACAAGGGACGAAAAGGGAAAAGAGCTCTGAGTGATCTTCCAATCTCCCGGGTGTTAATCAGTAAGCTGCGTTTTTTGATTTCCTTGAAATTTCTTTAAGTACATGTAAATTCATTCATGTAACTGTACATTCAAGTTGTTTTTTTAACAAGATTTTTTTTTTTTTTGTAAAGTTCATATATCAGATGCCAGTTATTAAAAATTATTAAAATGTTGACATCTTCTTCACCCATTCTTGTAGAAGCCTGACTGAGTGCCCACCCCAAAAGCAGAGTCCTGGAAGTAGAAGAGACCATCAAAGAAACTCTGAAGTACTTCCCAAACAGAAAGGGTGCGGCAAAGTACAAGGTACGTTTCTCTTGTTGCATTTTCAGTTTTCACATGCATAAAGTCTAGTCTTGTCAAAACACAAATATTGAGTGACTCCGAGTGAAGGGAGGAATATTATTTAAAGGCAAAATCTGTACTTCTCCATTTCCTTAGGCGAAGCGGAGTGAACTGGAAAAAAAGTCCAGATTTTACCAAGCGATAATATTCCTCCCATTTCACAATTTAAAGACGCTCAATGTTTGTTTTATATAATTGACATTTAGATCCTTGTCATTTGATATTTTTGCACTCTCATTTCAACATGAAATTGGTAAAAAATGTATTTCTCTCTTCCAAACCATCCATTCACGATAATGTTTGAACCCAACTACTGTCGCGCTGGCTCTTTAGGACAATACATGCTACGCGCATTGATGAAAGCGCACACCAGCATGCATTTGCACTAATACTGCGGCATGGAACAAAGTTGATCCTATAACTGTCAAAAAGTATTTCCCATTCCCCATGGGCGAATGGGAATTTTTGAGCCCCGGCGTAAATGGAAGTAATTAACGAATATCACGTAATGTGAGTTCCACCAAGCAAATGACAAGGATCTGTATGTCAGGATATATAATACAACTTAATCAGCTCTACAGTGCCAGTTTATTGTGTATTTACGAAAGTCGACTGTGCACATTGGAATTTGGTTGATAATACTTTAGCTTGAAAACAAAAACTATCCTAACAGTCAACAAAAGGTGTTCACTTTTTGGCATGTCCATTGTTTTGTATTGTTCTTCTGTTGGTCAAATACATGTACATGTACACGTATAACATATACATGTAGAACACTTGAATATTGTCTGCTTTAATTTCAGGAAACGTATTATTTCAACCAGATATGATGCATTTTAAACACTGCAAAAAAAAACCCGGACTGTACTTTTCATTGACTGCAACTGTCCGCTCTGGCTACAAGTCCCCCCCCCCCCCCTACAAATTTAGAAAAGGGCTGCTGGTAGGGAAAATTTCAACTTGGTGCATTGTGCACAGGCAAAGACTAACTGGCGTATGGAACATGTATGAACCTATGCACACACTAGGAAAGGGACGTTGTTACTATGTAAAAAAAAAATGCAATCTTTTGTTCCTGCAAGCAGCGGATTGGGTAAAAATTATTACAAGTTTCCAAAAATGTCAAGTTTTCTTTTGGTGTCCATTTTTGTTGTTGTATTTATTATGATGTTTGAAAAGTTCATTTATCTTTTAACTTCACAGAATCCTGATGCCAACAAGACAGCAGCAACACCATATGAGGTCAACAACGCCGACTTTGATGACTAGCAGATCCAAACTGAAAATGATTGGTAATTTAGTAATTTAGGGTGTTTGTTTGATCCCAATTTCAATAACGTGAATTGCGGAATTAGCGTTCCAATCCTGGTCTGAGGGCCCCATTTAGGGTGTTTGTTTGATCCCAATTTCAATAACGTGAATTGTCTGCATTGGGCAAACATTTAAAAGTCAATAGAATGTCTCATGAAGTCATAATGACCTCACTTCATATTGGCATTTCTAGTGGATATCCAACACATGCCAAGTTTCATTATAATCAGAATTTGTCTTATGTGTGTGTGTTAAAGACTGCATATTTCATTAATTCATCATGATGTTCATAATTTTGCTGATTCTTATGGAAAAACATGAAAAGTAGACATCCAAAAAAAGTTATATTATACTGGAAAAAAAGGATTTGGTTGCAAACCAAAACAAAAACTTGCCAAACAGACAGTGTTAACAAGATTTAATGTTTCGTTTGTAAAAAAATGTTTTTTTTTCAATCAAGTTGCCTGGGCATTGGGCCCTCATATCAGGATTGGAAACAACACCCACCCACCCCCCCCCCCCAAAAAAAAAAATAGATAAAAGATTAGAATATATTTGAGCTTCCAAACCTGAAACAATCTTGCCAAAAAGTGTTCATGTATGTTAAGTGTGCTAATCTACTTCTTCCTCAATATGTACATAATAGCAAATAAAAGATGGTGCTACAATATTTACTCTAATACTTGGAAGAATTAGGATAAATTTGGGCTTTCAAACTTAAACCAACTTGCCAAACAGTATCCATGTACGTGTATAGTATGGTGTGCTAATTTTCTTCAATATATGACTAGTACACATCAAATATATTTGGGATTCCAAACCTAAAACCAACTTGCCAAACTGTGTTAAGTGTGCCAATTTACTTCTTCCTCAATAAAAAAAAATCAGACATAAAAAAATGTAGTGCTCCATTTTTCTTACTAGGACGAATATATTTATTTGGGCATTCAACATTGACTCATTATACTACGAAGTAAAAGGTAGTTTCGCTTTCAAACCCAAAACCAACTTGCCGAACAGTGTATATTTTTACAGATGGTAATTAAAAAGTTAGTGAAGATGTTTGTCTGGACATAGTTGTTAAAACGATATTTAGTGTTATTATTGGCCTTTATGAAAAATCCCGAAGACTTGCATGTACATTGTATTATTGTATTTGTAGTTGTTTGAGATATACATGGAGGTTAATGAACTATGAATAAGCATGCATGACCTGCGAACTTTAACACACTTAAGCAGTATCAATCTCCGATTAGTAGCCTATGACGTAGGAGCCAAATTTGACATCATTTTGAAAGACGTTGAATGGCCTCCATTTCATTAAATAAATTCAAAAGTGGGAAAGAATTTAGTATCCTGACGCCATCTCAGCGGTCATCTATGGAGAGTCAAGATCATGTATTAAGTGTTTCCTAGCAGAATTGAAAATGTTTCTCAGTCCCGTTATGTTTCTCAGACCTATCGAGATGATACATGTACATGTATATTTAAAGAAAAAAGTGGCATCGGATTGAAACATTCTGTCCATTTAAGGACCATGAAGCATATGTGTTACATGGTTCTGCTTGAATTGCAAAAAATAGCATCGTAGTTAATTGTTTTTTTTATTCGTATAAGTGTTTGATATACACACCTTTATAACACGGTCGATGAGACATTACAAATTACATTGTTATATAACAAGTACGGTACTTTGTATTAGCAGTATTGGAAAACAAACTGTTGGGCCTAATATTTTGCTTGTTATATAAGCGGATTGTATCAGAGGGCTCTTCTTATCAGGGTTCATTAGTTATTTTATAATAAAAACGTTAAATAAAATGAGAAATAAAATGGCTGATAAGTTAATTCAGTTTGTCGTATTTGTCTTTTTTCATTACTTTGTCACAGTGCACATAATGAGAGTTCAAACAGTAGATTTTTCGATCTTGCCAACGTCCTCTGAAGGTGGTATGAATTTTATTTCGTAACGTTTGCCTGTAACGTTACAAGAACGTCTCTTGCCAACGTCCTGTGAAGGTTGTACAAATGTTATTTCGTAATGTTTTTTTTTGTAACGTCCAAAGAACGTCAAGAGAACGCTACACAATAACGTTCCCATAACGTTATTTTCAAACGTTCCGGGAACATTACCGTAACGTTATGAGAACGTTTTTGCAACGTTTTTTGGTTAGCTGGGAACCGCTCTGCAGGTTTACCGAAATTGTTTGAGGTTAAATATTGGCCTAGTTGATCGGATTTAGATTTAAACATCAAATTCACTGACCTTTTTATTTCGTAAGTTGGGCTACATGTAGTACTTGTAGTAACCTTCTGAGTGGCGTTGCAATAACGTACGTCACAATGAGATGGTTTTGATTGACGCTGGAAAATCCTGTAAAAAGGTGTAAAATGTACTTTCTAAGATATAGTTTCGAACAACACGACTGCAAGGAAGTAACCTGAAAAATGTAACATTTCCCAGTGCACAAGGTTGGATATATATTTAAATGTAGGCCTATAGTTATACTGACCGTTTCCTGTACGGGGGAACCATGCATATCTTATTTTTGAATGTTAACGGTAATCAAAACTTTGAGCAACAAAAGGTCTGGAGTAAACGAAGAAAAACCAATGGGAGCTAATCTTGAAAAAAAAAAATTGGCTGCATGTGCTAGCAAACAAAAGTTGAAAAATGTTTTTCTGAATGACTTGTAAGTGCTGACCCGGGTGTCATGCAAGGAGGCAAATTTCAGGGTATCGCAAAACCGGAGTGAATACGGCCACGGTACGGGTGATTTAGCACAATTAAGAGTCCGCTTTGTTTTTCATGGTGCTTATCAAAACAACACTCGGTGGAAAGCAATTCCATGTCATTCAAACATTTCACCATGCAATTATTTGACGAATTAATTTATAGTAAATTCGAGTTTTGGCAACCAAAACAAGCATATTATGTTTAACATGAAGATTTTTTTTTTGGGGGGGGGCATGCATTAGACAAAGGTCGTTATGCAGAAGGATAAGTACGTGAAAGGCCCTCGCTACGGTTCTAAAAACAACTTAGTCAAAATATTGACTGGTTTTCCTAGTTATTGAAAATTGCCTAGGAATTTAGTTAAGCATGCAAAATTTCATACTATGACTAGAAAAAGTTGTTGGGTTCGACTCCAAATTCAGTTATTGTCATATCTATTTTTCCCCAAGTCAATAATACTGACTGGAAAAATCTAGTCAGATTGACTGATTTTCAGTTGCACCCAGCTGACCCTGAATGGCTAGTCAAATTTAACTGGTTTCTAGTCAAATCTGACTAATGCTTTTTATATTGAAGCATCACCAGATATCATTAATTAAAACAAACATTAAAACATATCATTCAAACAAACATGATATTTTTTATAAAGCAGACAGCATGTTACTTACCCAAGCCTCTCAATAGCAGGTTTCCACCCGCATGTTCCCTGCTCTATGCATCGTGGCTTTAATCCCATACGCGGCTGCATGTGACGAGACTCTTTATTGACTAAACCGTAGGTTTTAAGCCTGCTGACAAAATGACCGGGACGAGCATCTGAAGAGTATTTCCCAAATATCTAAAACCTTCGAGAATATCTGCGCACGATCCTTTTTTGGCACACATCAGTCGTGCAGGAAAAGATTCTTGAATATAGCCGTCAGTATTCTCCTGTGCAATTCGTGCACGAAAGAGTTGTGGGCAATTTATGTTAATGGCCTGGACAGACCATGCTGGGATCACGCGCCCTTCTCAGACATGGCACCTGTCGTGCATTCATCAACCCGTCATCTATTAGGCCCATGCCAGCCTCAGTGGCAAAAAGTGTGTCTAGGGCCTTGAGAAATCCGAGAATCGACTTTGCATCATTATAAGACCACATGGCCTCGAGAGAGAACAGAATGATGGAACCAGTCTGGTAAAATAAAATAATAGGACCAACTAGAAATTTGTGTAAAAAATATCTGAGCGTTATTTACGGGCCCTATTAATATCGTTATAGGATTTAATAAAAAATGTTTACTTGCCATGGCTGACCAATGTACTGTACATGTGAAAAAGTTGCTAGCACGAGTAAATTCAGTTCAACTCAATTCAATAACAGTTTATTAATATTTTATGGACGCAAGGCCGAACATCAATTGGTAGGACTAACAATGAAATAGGAACGATATATAACAATTGAGAGACACTATCTGAAAAAGACTATTGTGACTAAAGGTTTGCACATATCAATTACTAATGGCCATTAAGTCATAGAAATTGTAGTAAAATGAAACTGAAATGAAAATAAATGAAGTCAAAATGGAATTGGACGAAACGAAAGCAACGAGGACAAAAAAACTATCTAACTTTATGACTTTGATGAAAATGAAAAACAACTTAAAGTTACTGTACTCACATTAAAATATTAGTTAGTTACTATACACATTAAATGATAGAATCAACAAGAAATTTGGGTAAAAAATATCTGAGCGTTATTTACAGGCCCTATTAATATCGTTATAGGATGTAAAAAAAGTGTTTACTTGCCATAGCTGACCAACGCAAAAGGTTGCTAGCACGAGTCAATTCAGTTCAACTCAATTCAATAAAAGTTTATTAATATTTTATGGACGCAAGGCCGAACATCAATTGGTAGGACTAACAATGAAATAGGAACGATATATAACAATTGAGAGATACTATCTGAAAAAAAACTATTGTGACTACAAAGGTTTGCAAGTATCAATTACTAATTGCCTTCAAGTCATAGAAATTGTAGTAAAATGAAATTGAAATGAAAATAAATGGTCAAAATGGAATGGGACGAAACGAAAGCAACGTGGACAAAAAAAAATAACAAACTATCTAACTTTATGATTTAGATGAAAATGAAAAACAACTTGAAGTTACTGTACTGACATTAAAATATTAGTTAGTTACTAAACTTACTATACACATTAAATGAGTCTATACTATTCAGTGGAAGCTTAAAGGTGAAACAATTAAGTGAACAATGGGGAGAAATGACTTTAAGAGTCAGGGTTCGCAGATCTAACCGCCAATGTTGGTGCGTCTGGAGGAGGGGGTCTGACGGAGGACAACCTGGAGACAACAAACTCGGGTAGCATTTGCGCTACCAACATGGGAGAAGTCTTGGCGAAGTGCCTGTCTAGCTTGTGTTTCAGTGCAGCTAGACGAGACCTCTCCCATGGCAGTTTGCGCAGCCGTCGTACCTTTCGTCTGTTGTCTGCCGGCTGCTCCTCCTCGGACAGACTTTCCTCAGAAGACATGTATGGCATTGCCATCACCTCCTCTGCTTCCCTTTTCTCAGCCTCCGGTAAATGTATTGACCGGAGGCTGGACTGGCGCC